TCCGTGTTTTATTCTTATAGAAGTAAGAAGAGGAGTAATGGGGCAGAAACCCTCAATTTTTCTTAGCGGATGCATGTCAATTTAAATCAATACATACAACTATTTTTTAAATCAATAAAATCATTGTCTAAATCCATAAAAGCATTTCAATTAATATTGGGAGTCATATCGTTACTTTGTTGAGAATGTGGCCATGTAATAAGCGGGATAATGTGCAGCGACTTGGTCATTATTCATTTGTTTTAAAGCAGGAGGCGCAAACGCTTGCCTCGGGGAGGGAGAAAAAGAGCCACAGCGGAGAATAAATAGAAGGGCAACCATGGCAACCATGCAAGGGAAGTCTTCTTCGCTGCTTTTTTTGGCAGACTACAGCGCCACTTACAGGCCTGGCATATGTACTACAGCGTCTCCAGCGCTTTCGAGCAGCAATGGCCGGCCGTGGCCCAACCTCTCATTCCCCTGATAGGTGGAGAACTGACTACTAAACGGGGCACCCCTTTTGTGAGGTAGGAAATAATTCAAATCTGGATCAGTCTGTATCAGATCCATTACAGCCCCGTTTTTAGAGATTTGGGTATGGAGGAAAAGAGAGAGGGTTGTATTTTCTGACACTTGGTGAGTTCCCTGACACGCCGGGGACACATATTCATGTATAAAAGACGTACAAGAGTGCATTTTGCATGATAGGTCCCCTTTAAAGACTACTTTCAGGATATAGAGAGAGATTTAAATTGTACAATTAAAATGCTTTGGGAGAAAATTACCAAACATAATTTTTCTTGAATCTTTCAGCACTCCGTCTCTAAACGTCTTCCTATATTTTGTCCCAGGTTGCCAAAGTGATGCCTAGGGATACCTTCTACTTTTCCATCCTGAGGAACCCTGTGGCCATGATGGAGTCCATCTTCATCTATTACAGAAGCATCCCAGCCTTCCACAAGACTCACAGCTTGGACAACTTCCTCGACAACAGTTGGAAAAACTACAACTCATCGGTGACCAACAACCACTACGCTCACAATATCTTGGCTTTTGACTTTGGCTTCGACAACAACGTTGCACCTGGTGCTGATGACCTGGAGGAGAGAACCAGCATGGCCATTGCAGCCATTGAACGAGACTTCCACCTTATTCTCATCTCTGAATACTTTGATGAGTCCATGATCCTGCTCAAGCATGCTCTCTGCTGGTCCCTCGAAGATGTTGTTTCTTTTAAGCTCAACAGTCGCAGTGAAAAATCCCGTCACCCACTTTTACCAGAAACTGCAGAGAAAATAAAGAGGTGGAATGCTTTGGACTGGAGGATCTACCTGCACTTTAACACCTCATTCTGGCTCAAAGTGGATAGTCTTGTTGGGCAAGAGCAGATGAAGAGAGAAGTCTCTCAGTTGAGAGAGCTACAGACTAAGCTGGCAAACAGCTGCCTGAAAGATGGGGGGGCAGTTGACCCGTCCAAGATAAAAGACGTGGGGCTAAAGCCCTTCCAGTATGGAGCAGCTGTAATTCAGGGATATAACTTAAACCCAGACTTAGACACAGAGACAAAAATTAAATGTGAAAGACTTATAACTCCAGAACTGCAGTACACAGACCGTTTATACACCCAGCAGTTCCCAGAGCTGGCCGCTAAGCATAAACAAGAAACTAAGGGGGTGTCTCCACGGCGACAGCGCTCCGACAGGACTGGTATCACTGGAAGAGCCTGGGCAAGGGACGCCCATTACAGACAGATGATGAGGCGCAAATTCTCTAATCTAAAGAACCAAAAGGCCTTGACAAGTGCCCTGTTACCACACACTGACGCTAAAAACTATAGAAGTATGCCATGATTGGTCACTGCAACTAATTGTCATGGTAAATGTTGTTTTAATGGGAGCAGCTCAGTTTTGAAACATACTATATTTCTAGAATGACCCTGGCATGGTATTATCCATCATATCCAACTAAATGAAAATGTTAAGATGGACCAAACAAAATATTGTTGTGCATTTGTTATAGCCTTACAAATACTGAAGTTAAAAATGTAAAGGTGTTCTTTAAGGTGATGGTACGGGAGTTTTTACATGTGTTAAGTTGAATTAAGTTAATTTGAGTTATACTTACGTTTATTGTCAATTCTACTTACAGGTCTGCTAACTAACAGTTAAGAATCTATGATAAAAGCAATCAACTTTTACTGGTTGCTCTTTCCATCTCAAGTAAATATAATATCCCTTATTCTCTTGTCTATTCCAAATAATGGTAACTGTCCAGCCTAACCAGTCATTTGACCAACTATCATAAAAAGGAAAATACCATTATTCTCCTATCAGCAATAAATCATAGCACAACAATATCTTATAGTACCAGAAACTAAGCGGGTGGTGGGGGGGAATAGAATGTTTTTTGCTAGTGCCAATAAAGGTAGCGCTAGTTGTTTTTATACTATCCCAACCAATAGATAGTATTGCCTTAAACCCACCCATGATATAATCCCTTGGTTTAAATGTCACCCTTCCCACAGAGCGGATAACACCAACAGCAAACTTGGCAGACTACAGTAAAATAGCAATGCAGGAATTATTAAATTATTTTCAATAACAATATGAGGCTATAATGCGTTTAGTCATTTCACTTCTGCCAGTCAACACACATTTCTTATTACATTTAACTTTAAGAAATGTATCAGTTAGATAAGTCTGTGCAGTTAACTCTTCAACTGTTTCATGTCTGAGGTCTGTTTACATGTTGTTAAATGTGTCAACGCACCAGATGTTGAAACAGCTGTTTCTACCAGCCTCCCTCTGCAGATTTTGACAGAGAGTTGTTCAGGAATTATAACAGTTCTCTATCCCTACTACCTAACGTTAGCATTCTACTTAACAAGCTAACAAAAGTGAGATATCTGCCCAAACAAGCTTTAGTTCCCTACCTATCTAACAAGCTAGCTGAGGAAATGTTAGCTATGTTTAAAATTAGGTAGCTAACGTTAGCATTCTACTTAACAAGCTATCTAACAAAAGTGAGCTATCTGAACAAAGTAGCTCAAGTCTGCTGACCTAACCAGTCTTTTTGTGAAAATGGGTAAAATGATCTGCGGATCAAAATATGTGATGCATAATAATACAGGGTTTGGACCAGGTGGTTGTCATAAGAATGGCAGTTTCACACAACCTGATGCACTATTTACCAGTTGTCAGAATATTAAATGAAAGCCAGCAGTCTAAACGCTGCTAACATGTTCAGATGCACAACGCATTAGTCTCTGTGAGACCAGGATCACAGCCTGGTGATGTGCAGAGGATCAGGTTCAGGCCTCCAGCATTCAGTCCTCCTCAGGCTTAGACCTTCCAAGAAGGCAGAGTCTGATGTGGAGTTGATTCATAAAGAGGGAATATTATTTTTGTGGTCTACTCATTGGTGGTCTATATTTGATTTCACTTCTTTGTTTTGTTTCCAATGGTGCAGAATAAATGATTGTACTGAAACCGTTTCTTTAGATTTTTCTTGTTAATGTTTTATATACCGAGTGTGATATTCAAAGGAATATGAGAAGGAACCTTACTAGATTTATGGTGGAAGCATCCATTTAGTGTCAGTGGCCGTTTCTCAATCTCAAGGAAACTGGCTTCCAAGCCAATATTTCAAGGATGCTACGTCATCGAGTGCCGCAGAAGGACTGTTCCAATCTCCAGCATACTTGGAATTCCACAGAGGCCGCGTCCTTGGTTTGGGGGTAATTTCGAGGCTGCACATGGGTAGACTTTGCGTCCTTAAAATCCCCACAATGCTTTGCGCACAGACCAATTTCCCCAAATCTGTGGCGGAAAATGTAAGGCGGGGCCTCTCATATGACGCACGCCTGTACACTTGCTAGCATGTTGTTCCACTCTTCGTTTTCCGTATGCCAGGAAGGATTCTTGCCTAGCTTCTGAAGCAAGTGACTCGGGCCGTTTCTCAATCGCGAGGATGCTTGCTTGGTAGCACATGTCTTCCGAGTCACTTCCTTCAGAAGCTAGGCAAGAATCCTAGTCTAGACTGAGTCTAGCGCAACTGGAGGATGAGTTAAAGGCTCTCAGGGCCTCCTTCCAAAAGTCATCAGAGAAAGTGAACTGTAGTTCCTTTTCCCAATTAGTTATTATTATTACTAATCTTGTTAATGGCAGATTCATCAACCGGAGAAAAAAGATCATAAAAATAAGAGACATGGCGC